GGAGATAGGAAAGATGGTAGAATGAGACAGACGTCATGATCTTAGATACATGTATGATTGCATGAATGGTGTGACCCTACTTTGTGTACAACCAGAGAAGTGAAAAATTGTGCTCCCTTTGTGTACAATGAATCAAAGAGCATTCTGCTGTCATGTATAACTGATTAGAACAACAACAACAAAAAAAAAAAAAAAGGTACTTCACTGCCTGGAAGGCCTTTTCTGTGTAGGTGGCTTGAAATTATGAATGCTAGGTATGTCTGCTGAGTATGTGAAATCAGTGATTTGGGACTACAGCATGCAGCTACCTGAGAGAGGAGCATATCAATCACCCAGTGAGGTCTGCAGTAGTGCAGTGATCTAGATGCTCTAAACACTGTTTATCAATTCATTCAGTAAGCTGAATAACTAGACACTTTACCCATCACATCCTCCTTAGACTAATTTAGGCCATCTGTCATGTGCTCCTTTAACACTCTGTTGCCCTATAAGTTTACTCAATGCATTTCAATGTTGTTTAACTGCCTATMTTCCCCATCAACTCTAAGGATGACTAGGTCCATTGATTGTGTTGTTTGCGCCACATCCCCAGAAACTATCACAGTGCCAGACACAGGATATATATGCAATGAATATTCTATGAAAAACATTGGTCAAACATGGTGACACACTCCTATAATTCAGCTACTTGGGAGGCAGAGGCAGGAGGATCACAAGTTCTAGGCCAGCACAGGCAATTTAGTGAGACCCTATCTCAAAATAAAAAATAAAAATGTCTGAGGATGTGGCTCAGAGGTAAAGCACCCCTGAGTTCAATTCCCGATAGTGTCCACATGAACACACACACACACACACACACACACACACACACACACACACTCACACATAGAAAGAGATGGAGAGAAAAAGAGGCTTATTAAAAGACACTGTACTGGGCTGGGGTTGTGGCTCAGTGGTAGAGTGCTTACCTAGCACGGGCGGGACCCGGGTTTGATCCTCAGCACCACATAAAATAAATAAATAAATAAAGGCATTGTGTTGTGTCCATCTACACCTAAAAAATAATTTTTTTTTTTTTTTTAAATAAAAGACACTGTACTTGAAAGGAAAGCGAGGAACCGGGAGACAGGTGAGTGAGAAATAAAGACGGAGACTAGGCAGAGAGTTTATTTGTCAGAGCTGACAAATAAAGGCACATCYCTGTACAGATGGAAAGAGGCAACACAGGCTTAGGCTCTGCAACTTTTACGGGGAAGGCTCAGGGATTAGAGCTGGGTGGGCCCTAATGAGGGTGGTTAAGATTGGGGTTGATATAAGGGAGTGGTGAGCCTTTCTCAGAAAGGCTCTTGGGCAGGAAAGCAAAACTTTTTCTTAAAATGGTGGCTGTCACTTAAGATGGCCATCCAGATGCTAAGCAAGGACCTTACAGTACTAAGCCAGGAGCTGGAACTGATTGGAAGATAAAATTAGAACTCACTGCCTGTGGAAAAACAATGTAAACAGGAATGGAACCAAAAGTTGTGAGGACAGAAGCTTGTGCAAAGTAGAAAGAAGCATTTAAGAACATAAAATTATAAACACAAAGTACTTTATCTTGGAAGAGGTTCACGCAACTGAACGGACTTGAAGCTTAAGCTTCACTATATTCATTGCAAATGTATGATAAGTGGTGATAAACGAACTAATGTGCAAATCGCTGTGGAATTTCTGAAGAATGATCAGAGATATCAGCAAGGGAAAATCCAAGATTTCAAAGAAGGGATAAATCCTGATCTTGATCTTACAAATAGAAACAAAGGAAAGAGATTGCAGATTTTWAAAAAAGGACATGCTAAATCACATAGGTGAGAGAGAGGCAATTTAGTTGTGGAACAGTGAGAAGTACTATTTGACTGGTATGGAACTGGGTGAAGAAAGTTTAGGATGGTGGTTCTCAAAGTATGATTCCTGGCCAGCAGTACCAACATTTCTTGGGAAGAGTTTATTGCCAAGCTGCAGTTGCTCAGGCCCTAGTCCAGACTTGCCCATAGAAAAACTCAAGATAAAACACAAAAATCTATATTTAAACAGAGTCTCTAAATGATTATTATTATTATTATTATTTGGTGCCAGAGATTGAATCCAGGGGCACTTAAGCACTAAGCCACATCCCCAACACTTTTTATTTTTTATTTTTATTTTTTATTTAAACAGGATTTCACTAAATTACTTAGGGCGTGACTACATTGCTGAGGCTGGCCTTGAACTTGTGATACTCCTGCCTCAGCCTCCCAAGCTACTGGGATTACAGGTATAGGCCAGATTGCCAGACTCAATTCTAATGCATTTTAAAGTGTGAAAAACAATGCCTTAGATTACTTGAGCATAAGATGAAGTTATTTTATTTCTCACAAATTTAATTTTGGGCTGTTATATAAGATAGCCAGAAATAAGAATAAAAGAATTATGATAGAGAGAGAGARAAAAAAATAATTTTATTTCATACCCCCAAATAAATTACAAATAAAGAGCTAAAGTAGAGAATCTGACCAGAACTTTCATGTAAGAATTTATTGTCTCAGCTTAAAGCCAATAATAGGACCTATAAAGAAAAATATTAGTAGGCTTGATTTCATAATAATTGGAGAACTAACAATACTTAAAAGTAAAAACAAACTAAAAAGAAATATACATATCACCTATCAATGGTAAAAGGCCAAGATTATTAATTTTAAAAAAATATAAACAACATGTTTAAAAAAAATAGGAAAAGGCCATTCACTGAAAACTCATGAAAGACAAATAGCCAATAAACACCTGAAAAAAGAATCTAATTTCAAACAAAAATACATATTAAAATGGAACACTACATTTTACTTACTAAATCAGCAAAGCATTTTTTGAAGATGGAAGCAACTTAAGTGTCCACTATTTAACTGTATGATCCCTTGTAGTAGTGCAAAGTGCTACTAACATTTTAATAGCATAAGGAACACTCACACTACATTTTTTAAAATGTTGTTACAAAACAACATAAACAATAATATTCTAAATTTGAGAAAACGTGTGGAGGGATAAAAATAATGGGAAGATATAGAGCAAAACATTACCATTGATTAGCTCAGAGTTATGGGATAACATTTTTCTTTTGTTCTTCATACTTTTTTACTGTCTCCATTATTTTAAAAACATGCATCCCTTTTCTTTTCTTTCTTTCCTTTTTTTTTTTCCTCCCATGTATCCCTTTTCTAATCAGGAAAATATTAAGCTAGTCTATAATGTGGCAAAAATTTAGAAGGATGAGGATTAAATATTCCTAAATCAAAACTATAATGGAATTTAGTAAACTATAAGTTGGTATTTTGATATTTCAAAGTTTCACTCAAGTTGCCACCCTCCTTTGGAGGGGGAGGTGGGGGAGGAGAGGAAAAGGAAGAACTTACAATGAAACTGTAAATATACATAGTCAAGCTACTCAAAGAATTTTAAATTGCCTTTGATTTGTGATTATGTTACAAGACATCTAAACATTGTAATTCTCTTCTAAGTGGCAGTGTGAGAATTTTTCAAAAATAATGCACTGGGTAGGAGAGGGGAAGATGTGTGTTTAACTACAAAACGTTTTGGAATAAAACTTCATCCTAGAATGCAGACTGACACAAGACTACCCAGCGAGCAAAAATAACTAAAGATGGTCGCATGACACCCTCTTGTGGCTTCCACTATATCTAGATCAGGAAACAACAGAACCAGCAGAGAAGGAAGGGAAGGATATAGGTGGTTCTTTATAAATTTATGTATCAATCGCGTATGGATTCCCTGTTCTGTGCCAGGGACAAACTATACTACAAAACAGCTTTAAGTCTCTTCGTACTTATCCAAGTCATACCAACACTCGTGAACATTCGTTTATTTGAACTGAATACACACGAAGATTATGAGGTCATAAAAATTAAGGCTCACCAACAAGTAGTGTCTCTTCTAAATACCATATAGTTTTATTTCCTTAGAGAGGGTGAAGGAATGGGGTAAGGTCTGTTTCCTCCTTTCCAGAGGTTCATTGGTTAATTAGCACATGCGTATCAGAAAAAGCACAACAGAAGTAAATTAAAAACCATGATTGCTGACATGACTTTCCAAGTGACCTTAGACAAGGATTATTATATATGGACCTCATTCATTCATTTCATAATTATTTGAACCCTGGGTGCTTGGCTATAAAAATAAAGTGTCAATCTCTCACAAGCTAAATTTTCTAATTTGTAAATTGAGACTAATTACTTCAACCTGTTGTCAAAAGGATTAGGGGTTGGGGGTAAAGCTCAGTGGTAGTGTTTTGTATGCACCAAGACCTGGCTTCCATTCTCAGTATGGGGGCTGAAGGGGATTCAACATGATCACACTTAAAAGTTGCTTTCTTTCTTGATTTCTCTGTGATGGTGTTGGGCCTCAGGCCTCGCGCTTGCAAAGTACACACTTCACCCCTGAGCTGTATTCTCAGCCCTACAGGTCATTTTAAAAACCGTGTTCATAAATTTATTTATGCTCGTTCAATTTAATCCTTTCATTAGCTGCTCAAGGAACCTCTAGGTCGGAAAAGGAGTGAAATAATCTAATCCAGCACTCTATATAATTTCACGTTCGTTCCAAGATTTCTTGAGCCAACGAAACGGGCTGAAGCCTAATAGCCACTCAAGATCTTAACAAGTGTCACTTCTCCATGTGGACACGATCCTAGCCCGGTGTGGTTCTTCTGTGGGGCCTCGGTAAAACCATGACGCGGCCTTGCCCTTTTTGTCGCCAACAGGGTGCTGGCATGCTTTAGGACTGAAATGCCATCTGCCTTGCCTAACCTGGGCAAGATCAGTCGCGTTACCGCCCTTGCGAGAGCACTGTCGCAAGGGGGACTGCTTGCACGCCGCGCTTCTTCGGTTCCTCGCAGCGCGGGAGGGAGGACGGAGCAGCCGGGGGAAGTTCGTCCGGCCGCCTGGCTAGGAGCAGTTCTAGGCGGTGGAATCACTCGCTGCGTTTCCTCGGGAGGGGCGGAACCTCGCCCGGAAGGGGCCTGTGGCGGCGGAAAGGCGCCGGCAGGGGGCGCGGGCCTCCGGGCCACCCCCGGGGTGGAGGCCGGTGGTCCCTCCCAGGCCGAGTGTGCGGCAGGGCCGTGCACCCGCCCCCCCACCCTCCATCACCTCGTCACCTCCCCGCCCTCTCCTCTGCCCCCCGAGGTGAGCGGCGCAGGCGCGGAGCGAGGCGGTGAGTGTGGCCGCGCAGCCTGGGCCTGGGGCCTAGCGGGCTGGGCTTGGGGCACGCGGGAGGGAGAGGGCCGGTCCTGACAGAGCGCCCTGGAGCGCGAGGGCCTGAGCGGCGTCGCCCGCAGCCCGCGGCCCTCTCCGCCCGCGCTCGGCCGCAGCCACCTCAGCTGTGCCTGGGCCGCCTGGGGCCCCGGGGAAACGGTGAGTGTGAGGGAGGAGCGGACGGGCTGGGCGCTGGACTGGTGCAGGGGACGCCGGCGTGCGGGCGCATCTTCCAACGGGAGAGGGCTGGAAGGGCCGGAGGCTTCCTCAAACTGAAACCCTGCCTTCGTTTAAGGCGGGATGGCGTCCCCTCCCCCACCCCCAGAGCCGGTCGTGACTGGCCGAGGACTCTGAGGACCCCCGCGCCTCTCSCTTCAGGGCGCCCTTGGGGTCGTGGTTTGGAGTTCCCCAGCGCCAGCCGCTAGTGGCTGGGCCGGGTCGAGGCGGGCGCGTGGCGCTCAGTGGAGGCGGCGGGGGCCGAGGATTCTTGCCCGGCCCCTGGGACGGGCATGTGTTTTGCGGCGTGGTGCCACGCTGGCCCTCCCGCCCTGCCCGGCAGCTCCGTGACCCTCCGGCGGCGCATCTTGGTGCTCGCGTCGGTCCCGGCGCCCAGTCTCCCAGAGCTGCCCAGACCCACCCGTTCGSGTGCTTAAGCCCCCTCCCGCCACCCTCTCTGACTTTCTTTGAAGTGCAGCCTAGGGACACCAGTAAATTAAGCAGTTTATCTCCTTACAAAGAGATACCGATTGTGCTAGAGTATTTCAGTGGAGACTGAGTCCGAGTTGGATATATAGTGGACTCTAGTTCATACTTTCCTGAAACATTTTGTTTCAATTTTTTAAAAAAATCTAGAAAATATATACTTATTTTTATGAAGATAAAAAGGGAAGTTTAGCTCTTTTAAAACTTGTTTAAAATGTAGCTTCTTATTGTAAAGATGTCTTATAGCATTTAGCAAGAAAGACTTTTGCATTGCACAAAAGGCACAGTATGAGAACTGTTTTTTGTATATAGACATTCTTGTTGAAAAAAATGACGGGTGAAAATATGCTAACTTGTATTGCTAAAATACTTTTTCAAAAAAAAATGTTTCTTATAGCCCCCCCCCCTTTTGTGAATGTATACCACATCATAGGAAGAAGTGTAGGTGTACATATCAAAATGTTAATAGTGTTTTTTCCAGGTAAATGGATTGTAGGTGATTTGCTCTTTTTAGTAATTTTAATTTTCCCGCGGGGAAACATGTATAGTTTGTACTTAAGTGGGGAGAGGGGAATGAGTGGTAAGTTGCATGTGATTCAAAATCTTTGTGATAGGAGGAGAATTGGTGAGCAAATATTTGTTTTGGTACTGACACTGAACCTAGGGGTGCTCAACCACTGAGTTACAGCCCCAGCCCTTTAAAAAAAAAWAATAATTTTTTTTTTTTTAATTTGGAGATAAGGTAAATCGCTGAATTGCTGAGGCTGGCTTTGATCTTATGCTTCTCCTTCCTCAGTCTCCCCAGTGGCTGCCGCCAAACCTGTTTTAGTGAATAAATGTTTATATTGATAGCTTTGAATAAAAAAAATCAAATTTCTTCATCAAGATAATTATGCATACAAAAACTTTTTGTTGTTTTAGAGTGTGTAGAATATGAATTCTGAAGCTTTTGGCTATATAAATTCTCGAAGTGTATAAAAGGTTTTATGTCTTGGAATTTTAGCTTATTATATAAAGATGAAAATAGCCTTTTTGATATTTGGATGCATTGGATTGGGCTGGAAACTCAAAAGAATGCTCTTTAGGTTGTTGGGTGGGCATTTTATATATGCTGGGTGAGGCATTTATATCATTTCTGTAAAATTCATGTTTGTCAGTTTTTCTTAGGTGATGATCTTCCCCTCCTTACAATTGTTGGCCGAGAAAGAACTGGAAACAAGATGTAACTTGTTGGTGGCAGTGCTTAGCCATGAAGATGTACCCACATACAGTTAGAGTTATTCAATGTCCAGGAATCAGAAGACATGTATTTGCATCTCTGGTTTTGCCATTTCTTAGTTGACTTGACTTTCACTGAATATGTTTCTTCATCAGTAAAATTGAGGTGGGTTGAACAGTAAGCCTCTCAGTGTACATCACAGAATTTTTTAAAAGACAATCTAGAATAAGGGTTAGGAAAATCCTTAATAAACTGAAGTAATATATTACTATATGATTGCATCTAGTGCTGATATACCCAGAACTTAGTAAAGCAGCAAAAATAGTATGTACCCCTCAATTCTTTATCACTAGAAATGAGAAAATCACCTTGGTGTTAAGAAAAACAGCACATGAGACTGGATTTCGGTTTCTGGCATTCCCTCCTTGCCCATGCTTCTGTGGACAGGCACTCTTCTGAAATTCGGGGGTAGTTCTGATTTAAACACTAATCTACTGGAACTGGATTGGTGACTTTATCTCCCTATTTGTTTCCAACACTAAATAAAGTAATTGAAGACTTTGTTTCTAAATTGGTTAGATGTGGCTAGGGATGTAGCTCAGTGGTAGAGCAACTTAAGGCCCTGGGTTTATTCCCCAGGACCAAAAAAAAAAAAAAAWTTTTTTTTCTAATAAAATTAGTTAGACTTATATTCAAATCCCAACCTCACTACTTAGTAGCCAACTTTGATTAATCAATAACAAGGAGTAAATAATAATTTGGTGAGGGTGTTATGGATTTTGCATAACAGGTTCACAGTTTGCTGTATGGCTGGTTAAGAACCTTAACCATTTCAGGTCTATGATTCAGTATTTGTTTTCTCTATGTTTACTTCCCATTCAGCTGAATAGATTAAAATATTAATGCAGWTTTATTCCTATTTTGAGGTCATTCATGGCTATAACTTTAGAAGGTAAAGTCAAAGGAATATGAAAAATTTATATAAATAATCACATCAGTATATACAATTTTTAGTGTTTAGTAAAATATACTCAAGGGCTGGGGATGTGGCTCAAGCGGTAGCGCGCTCGCCTGGCATGCGTGCGGCCCGGGTTCGATCCTCAGCACCACATACAAACAAAGATGTTGTGTCCGCCAAAGACTAAAAAATAAATATTAAAATTCTCTCCCTCTTTCCCTCCCTCCCTCCCTCCCTCCCTCCCTCCCTCTCTCTCTCTAAAAAAAATACACTCAAAAGAGTATTATGCTTGAATTATTTCTTTATACTTTTCTAGTTAATTAAATATCTGGAATAATTGTAGTTTTGAATCTCAGAAATGAGCCACACTTTTGCTTATATGACTTTTGTCATGTTTAACTTACAGGTATTTTTTTTACCATCTGTGGAAACTTTGTAATTCATTTTTCCTCACTGAAATATTAAGAATTATACCAAGTAAGTGGTATATAAAATTATATAACTGTTTTATAACTGTTCATGTGGGAGCCAGGCATGGTGGTGTATGCCTATAATCCCATCACCTTGGGAGGCTGAGGCAGGAGGAAGGGGATTTCAAGGCCAGCTTGGGCAAGTTAGTGAGAACCTGTGTCAAAAAATGAAAAGGACTAGGTATTGCTCAATTGTAGAATGCCCCTGATTTAATCTCCAGTACCACAAAAAACAAAAACAGTTGATGGTAAAATAATCATATAATGGTTGCCACACCTTTTCTGACTCAGTAGAATAGCAAATGTGACTTTATCAATAAGTTAAGGATTTTTTTTTCTTAAAAATTATTTATATTCTGAGGTTCTATGTGATGCATATTTTTTTTTGGAAGCTGTGAGTCAATACAGAGGTGTAACAATATATTTTTTAGTGTAGCCACCTTTAGCTTGAAATCTGAATAAAAATATTCCCAATTGCAGGAAATGTGATTTGATAGCATAATGGGCTTTTTAAAATAAAAATTTTAAGCATAAGTTTTATTATAATTATCCAATTCTTATAATTACAACATTTGAAAAAGAATTTCTCCATCTTAGTTAGAAAGAATGCAGAAATCAGTGTCCTGTCTCTAAGCTTAATAGGAAAAGTAATCAAAAATATAAACAGAGACATTGTATAGCATTTCTCATACAAGGTTTATTTTCATGTGGCACACACATTTCTTAGTGCAATTCTTTGGTTAGAAATAATTCTTATTACAACATTAACAATTATTTGTGATATTTATTAAATGTTTTTACTTTTTAGATTGAAAAGATATGAATGAGTATCCTAAAAAAAGAAAAAGGAAGACTTTACACCCTTCTCGTTATTCAGGTTAGTGTATAAGTTAATTAATTTAAAGGTGAGTGTGTATATTTTCGAAGAAATTGTATTCTTATCCATTTTTTCAAATGATTAGATAAGACTTAAATATCTGATCAATTTTTAGGTCAGATAAATTTTAAATTCTCTGAATATATATTCCTTATTGTCTACCATGTGCTAGAGACAGACATGTTAGAACTTTAAAGACATTATTGTATTTAATTTTCATAATTCCATGGGTTATAGATATTTAAAATTTGTTAACCATCRTTACGAATTATATAGCATAATTGAGCTTTCCTGTCTGATTACCAAGCTGTGCTTAAGACACAATGATAATTTGAAAATATTTTGCATTACTGAGGGAACAAAACTTTATCCTATACATTCTTTTCAGAAATGTGAACTTTCAATTTGACTATGTGATTGAAGTTGGCTGTGTTGTATTGGCAATATGAAGAGGTCTTTATGGCCATTTCTGATATAGCTTACACATACTTGAGACAGTCTCAGACATACCTGTTAGCTTACTCCATGCTCTTATTCTTCTTATCTGAGGAAATTAAGCCTGGTCTACTGCTTACTGGTGTTTCCCAGGCAAAACTTGAAGAGATTATATTCAGAAGCTTTCATTGGACTCCTCAGGCCATTTCCCCTATGTATTATGCTTTCTTTGCCTGATGGCATACCTCTCACTGTTTTGTGCAGTTAACAAGGCATTCATTATATATTTGTATTTTTTTCCCCCATGGTGCTGGGGATTGAACCCAGGGCCTTGCACATGCAAGGCATGCACTCTACCAACTGAGCTATATCCCAGCCCTATGTATTTGTATTTTGTGAGATTCTGATTGTAAGGAAAATTTTATTCTTATGTATTTCAAAGTTATTATATTTTAGAGTCTGTAATTTATGCTTTTCTTAAAGCTAAATGTCAGTAGATCTGAAATATAAAAGTTTAAAACTGAGAAAAATACACTTTCATTATAGATGCTATATTTTTTTTTATCATTAAAATTTGTGCCGAAGACATAGCTCAGTGGTAGAGTACTACTTACATAGTATTCACAAGGCCCTGGGATCCAGAAGGAAGGAAGGGAGGGAGGGAGGGAGTTATCTTCTAAATAATGTGAATTTGAATATGTTAAAGATATATGTATGTTTGAAACATTTTAAAATTTTCTTTCATTGTTTTATATTCAGATTCCTCTGGAATAAGCAGAATTGCAGATGGATTCAATGGGATTTTTTCTGATCATTGTTACAGTGTCTGCTCTATGAGACAGCCAGACTTAAAATATTTTGACAACAAAGGTACATTTAATATTTTCCAAAATACTTATTTCTCTTTGAATTGATTTTACAGTGACTGAGTATATAGATAGCTCTATGGTAGAGCCCATGCTTAGCATGAATGAGGCCCTGGGTTTGATCCTAACACTGCTAAAAGAAAAAATAAATGCTTTTACATTTTTTTTTTTTTTTTTCTTATTTGAAATGGTAGGTGATCTGGGTGTTGTGACACATGCCTATAATCCTAGCAGCTTGGAAGGCCAAGATAGGAGGATAGTAAATTTGAGACCAGCCTCAGCAATTTAGCAAAACCCTGTCTCAAAAAAATAAAGGACTATGGGTTTAGCTTAGTGGTAGAGTGCCCTTGGGTTCAATGCCTAGTATCTCCCCCCACACACACAAAAAGGGGGGGGGGATATAAAATATTGAGTTAATGATTTCAAAGCAGGCAAGAGTATGAATTTGGTATAACTTAAGAAAATGTAGTGTTTGRTATTTTTCTTTTAAGAAAGCAAGTAAGTAATTTCATTTTTTAACTTTTTTCCAGACATATGAATAAAAAACACACCTTCCTAAATCATTTTTAATTGTGTAGCAATTGGTGGCAAAGTAGGAGTGATGTGGAGTTGGGAGCATTTATGGTGGAAGGTTAAGAACAGTGTTTCCATAGCTCTTCCACTCAGCTATACCTTTCAGTCTGAAAGGCTAATGAACAGAGAGTGAGCAAGGTCAACATCAACAGTTATGAATCTTGTATCTCCTAATGACTCTTATTTTCTAGGCATTGAGTAGAATGATAACAACTTATACTTACTGTCTTCTCTATGAGTGATCACTGACACAACTAATTCCTTTGGGCTCCTATTATAATCACAGAAACATACGTTATAAAAGCACACATGGACTCAGGGCTATCATTGTGAACTTAGGTTTAGCTTGATATAGATTCAGATTGATATACGTTAGTGTTAATAGATGCCGTAGTATACACACACATTTTTTGCTCTGTTAAACTGAGAGGACCTACAAGCAGTGATACTTCAGGAGCAATGGTGACATTTTGTGTCTATATCATGGTTTCCAATACCATTCATAAGTAAAAGGAACTAAGTCCCCTGGAGAAATAGTTGACGTTAGGTCTGGGGCAAGAACAGAAAAGTCCTTTCAAAACAAAACAAGAGGCTGAAGCAGAAAGATTATAAGTTCAAGGCCAGTCTGGGCAACTTAGCAAGACCTTATCTCAATATTTTAAGAAGGACTAAGGACCATAAAGAAAAATTATGTCATTTGCAGGAAAATGAATGGAACTTTAGAACCTTATGTTAAGCAAAGTAAGCCAAACTCAGAAGGTTATGACTTATATGTTATCTTTCATATGTAGAAGCTAGACAGGGAAAAGAAAGTGGGGTGCATCTCATGAAAATCAAAGGGAGTAAAGGGGAGGAAACCAGGGACAGTGGTGTATGTCTGTAATCCCAGTTGTCTCAGGAGGCTGAGACAAGAAAATTGCAAGTTCAAAGCCAGTCTCAGCAACTTAGCAAGGCCCTAAGCAATTTAACAAGACCCTGTCTCAAAATAAAATATAAAAAGGACCTGGGATTTATACCTATGGTAGTTAAGTACAAAAAAAGAGAGAGAAAGAGACCAGGGGGAGAGAGGATGAGAGGGAGGGAAAAAGGAAATACTTAAAGTTTAAAAGTTAAAAGGGCCTGGGTACCAAAAAAAAAAAACCTCACTACCTAGAAACCACACACATTCACACACACACTTATTAGGGGAATGCTTAAGGAGTATAAGAATCCATCTGAAAGAGCTCCCAATAACCAAAGCTGAAATAATTTGGGGAATTAAAAAAATCAAATTATAATCTAAAGAATCAATTAAATATCCAAAGTCTATACTGATGTAGATGACTGAATAAATAAATAAGGGATATAAAACAAATCTCCTGTATAGAAGAAATTTATTTATGTAGAGGGGAGTTATGTTCTATCTCCTTTTTCTCAAGGAGATAGAACATAACTTCTCACTCTTTAATTGTGATGAAGTATGAAAGGAAAGTAGAGAAACCTAACTACTACTTTAGCCAGGTGATCAAGGTCAACATCAACAGTTACAAGTCATGTTGATATAGTATGCACTCTTACCAAGAGCGCATCACATTTACATCACAGTTTACTTCAGAATTGTGCTGCTCAATAACTCATGATTCCAATGTAACCATAAAAAAGAAACAGCAGATTCCATTATTGGGATATTCTACAAAATACCTGACCAGTAGTCCTCAAAATAGCCTAAAGAGACAGGATAATTAAATATACTATGGGATCCTGGAACAGAAAAAAGACATACTGGGTAAAGTAGGGATATTAATGAATCACTAGTAATATATCTGTCATTGGACTGGGATTATGGCCCGGTGGTAGAGTGCTTGCCTAGCATGCATGAGGTACTGGGTTCGATCCTCAGCACCACATAAATGTAAAATAAAGATATTGTGTCCACCTAAAACTAAAAAAAAAAAAAAAATAGTAATAATTTTTTTAAAAAGTAATATATCCATCATTAATTATAACAAATGTACTATAAGATGTTAATAGTGGGGAAACAGCATGAGATACATAGGAACTCGATCTTCATAACTTTCTATAAATCTGAAACTTATATAAAGTCTATTTAAAAAAAAAAATGTGGGCTGGGTATTTAACTCAGTGGTATAGCATCCCTAGACTCAAGCCCCAGTACTGCAAAAATAAAACATGTTGAAACCCAGTTTTGTCAATGACCTGCATTTCCATTTCCCCATGCTAACTTGGTAGAACCTGGGCTAAGGAAATAAAGGCTTATTCAAACTCAGAAACTTAAAATTCCTAAGCAAGTTCAAAAAAGTGATCTTGGGCTATGGTTGTAGCTCAGCGGTAGAGCACTAGCATGTGCAAGGCTCTGGGTTTGATTCTCACATAAAAAATGTCTAACTACAACTAAAAAAAAAAAAATGTATTCATGTCTAATTGGGGCATAAAAGCATTTGCTTATTTGGGCAGGTTTTATTTGTTGGTGGTATATAGGTAACATCTCTCTTAATGGCTAAATCTAAGTCCTTAGTTTCTATTGGAATTCAAAATTATATCAAAAATAGTTATTGCTTTATTTTATAATGTTTAGTGCTTTGATATAAATAATAAACATTTTTCCAAATTTTTTTTTTTTTTTTTTTTACAGATGATGATTCTGATACTGAGACATCAAATGACTTGCCAAAATTTGCAGATGGAATCAAGGCCAGAAACAGAAATCAGAACTATCTGGTTCCCAGTCCTGTGCTTAGAATTATAGATCACACTGCCTTTTCTGCAGGTTAGGGAAACTAATCATATTGGCATATTTCTATAGACCTATGAGAAAAACTCAGTGCATACCACTGTGGTATCTATCTAATTGATCAATTGAATAACGGTAATATAATAATAGGATCATTTCATTTTTCAGAAAAATCTGCTGATGTAGAAATTTGTGATGAAGAGTGTGACTCACCCGAATCAATCAACCAGCAAACTCAAGAGGAGAGTCCTATAGAAGTTCACACCGCTGAAGATGTCCCCATTGCTGTAGAAGTGCATGCCATTTCTGAGGATTATGACATAGAGACAGAAAACAATTCCTCCGAGAGCCTCCAAGACCAAACTGATGAAGAACCACCAGCTAAACTTTGTAAAATTCTTGACAAGAGCCAAGCTTTGAATGTGACTGCTCAGCAGAAATGGCCTTTACTGAGAGCTAATAGCAGTGGCCTCTATAAATGTGAACTTTGTGAATTCAATAGTAAATATTTTTCTGATTTAAAACAGCATATGATCCTGAAGCATAAACGTACCGATTCAAATGTGTGTCGAGTATGTAAGGAAAGCTTCTCTACCAATATGCTTCTGATTGAACATGCCAAACTACACGAAGAAGATCCTTACATTTGTAAATACTGCGATTACAGGACAGTAATTTTTGAGAACCTCAGCCAGCACATTGCAGACACCCACTTTAGCGATCACCTTTATTGGTGTGAGCAGTGTGACGTGCAGTTCTCCTCAAGCAGTGAACTCTACCTGCATTTCCAGGAGCACAGCTGTGATGAACAGTACTTGTGTCAGTTCTGTGAACATGAAACAAATGATCCAGAAGACTTGCATAGCCATGTTGTAAATGAGCATGCGTGTAAATTAATAGAACTAAGCGATAAGTATAACAATGGAGAACACGGACAATACAGCCTCTTAAGCAAAATTACCTTTGACAAATGTAAGAACTTCTTTGTGTGTCAAGTATGTGGTTTTCGGAGTAGACTTCATACAAATGTTAACAGGCATGTTGCTATTGAACATACTAAAATATTTCCTCATGTTTGTGATGACTGTGGGAAAGGCTTTTCAAGTATGCTAGAATATTGCAAGCATTTAAATTCACACCTATCTGAAGGGATTTATTTATGTCAATATTGCGAATATTCAACAGGTCAGATCGAAGATCTTAAAATTCATCTAGATTTCAAGCATTCGGCTGACTTGCCTCATAAATGTAGTGACTGCTTGATGAGGTTTGGAAATGAAAGGGAATTAATAAGTCACCTTCCAGTCCATGAAACAACTTGATTATTCTCTTTGATTTACATAATGTTTTTGTGAAATAAATTCAACCTTTTTTTTTTGAGATGTTAAAATGGGTAATTTTAAAAACATGAGATTTGCCTTTTAACAAGTAACATTTTCCAGTATGTAATTATACCTTAATTGTGGTATTCAATTGCATGGTAGTATATAGTTTTAATCATTCTTGGTGACTGTAATTTGGTGTCTTGCATGTGGTTCAATTTTATGAATTGAGAAGAAACATGTACTGAAAAAACTATCTACAGTTTTCCTTCCTTAACCATGGTGCTATTAACCTTTTTAAATGCAAGATAGGCTTAGGGTTTTTTTTGTATGAAGTTATTAAATTACTGCACTACCAGAACTAAAAGAACATAAAATACATTTAAGTTCATTCACAGTCCATTAATAAGACCACCCCCCCTTTTTGTAATACCCATCAGGAATTAACCCTAAGCAATCAGTAGACTCTCTGTGATTAATAACAGTAGGAAGTCTTCCTTATAGTAGGGGAAAATGCCATTTTGGGGGGCAGTTTTTCATTTTTTAAATCCCCTATCTGTTGAATAATTTTGAGATTGGGGAGACAGTAAAGCAATAGACAAAAAAAAGGTAACCATTTCATAACTGATTGACATTTTATCTTCAATTATAGGACTATGAATATATGCCCAACTTCTTTTTTTTTTTTTTTTGGTACCAGAAATTTAACCCCCAGGACACTTAACCACTGAGCCACATCTCCATAACCTTTTTATTTATCCAGAGACAGGGTCTCACTTAGTTTCTAAGGCTCACTTTGAATTTGGGCTTTTAACTTGGGATCTTTCTGCCTCAGCCTCCCAAGCCACTGGGATTACAAGTGTGGGCCACTACCCCTGGCTAATGCCCAAACTTCTGATACCAAATTATACATTGAGAAAACTCATTTAACTATTTATTTTTTTATTTTTTTTTAATTTATTCAACATTTATTTGTAATCTGTAAGGAGAGGGCGAAAATCTTTGAATTAATTTGCATAGTTCATCAACTATAGCATATATTACACATTTAGTAAAGCTAATTACAATACTTTTTTTTTTTTTTAAAGAGAGTGAGAGGAGAGAGAGAATTTTTAATATTTATTTTTTAGTTCTCGGTGGACACAACATCTTTGTTGGTATGTGGTGCTGAGGATCGAACCCGGGCCGCACGCATGCCAGGCGAGCGCGCTACCGCTGAGCCACATCCCCAGCCCTCAT